TTAGAATTCTTTGATGAGAAAAATTCTTTAATATGATAACCTATTCATTTCTTACGTTTAGTTTTCTGCTATAGGGTAGCTCCAGAAGTGTCCTGTTGGGTCAAAATGGCAACCGCCGTACTGACGCGCTGGGTTCAACCTAAAGGGGCGTCAACGAATCGGTTGATAATAGACCAGGCTCCGCCATTTCGGTGACATTCGCGAAGAGCCCACTTAGTCGCGAACATTACCCAGAAGCGGCATGGTGCACTTGCGGATCTGACCCAGTGCCCCTAAAACCAGGAGAGCTTCGGCTACGTCCATCGCAAGGCGAACACAAGCTGTGCTCTGCTCCTCAAGCATTAGTCAGTGCTTTTCCGGAGTATTTATTGGCAAGAAGACAAGAGTCACTCGTTCGCAGCATGGCACAGTCGACAGAGCTAAGGATTGAGAGACCTGTTTGGCATATTTCTGATGCAACATGAGGACCCTTGTTAAGAATGCACGGATCATTACTGGAGAGTCTCCTGAGCTTCAGCAATCGCTTTCCTGCTTAGCGATCAGAGACAACATAATCGAGTACAGAGGCCAGCTAGAGGACGCTGCCATCATTGACTTTCTGCGCCACGATGACGTGAAACAAATCGACTTGGGCGGCCGCAACATCCTCCCTGCGTTTGTGGATGGCCACGTCCACCTCCTACACTTTGGAATTTCCCTCTCCAAGATCGATCTGGGAGACTGCGGCAGCCTGGATGACATCCGTCAAGCCATCCAAGCGGCAGCAGCCAGCAGACCTGATGCGAAGCGACTCCTCTTCCACCGCTGGAAGCAGTCTGCCATACCAGGAAAGGTCACGAGCTCAATGCTGGAGGGCTTGGACCCGCGACCCATCTACATTGACGCGCACGACTTGCACTCTGCATGGTGCAACAGCGCTGCAGTGGATGAGCTGAATCTCCCTTCAACTAACCCGCCAGGCGGCATCATCCACCGCGACGAGCATGGCGCACCCACGGGCTTGTTGGAAGAGGGCGCGGTGGTGAGCCTTGTCTGGCCATTCCTTGCCGACCTCATGTCCCGCGCAGAGAAGCTGGACCGGATCCGCGAAGCCGTTGCGATTTACAACCGCGCCGGTTACACCACGGTCATCGACATGGCTGTAACTCAAGACTATTGGGAGCTGCTGCACGAGCTTCACAGTGCTGGGGAGCTCAAGCTGCGCGTCGCGGCTCACTTCCTCGTCCTACCCACGGGCGACGCAGAAACGGAGAGGGCTCAGGTCGAGCATGCCAGCAAGCTGCACCAAAGTTATAATCTCACCACATCGCCCGACTTGAGAGTCGCCGGCATAAAGATAATCTGCGACGGCGTGGTGGACGCCTGCACCGCTGCCGTGTCCAAGCCGTACCAAACGACGGGCGAGACCGTGCAGCCGTTCTGGACGCCCGAAGCTCTGCAACGTGTGCTCGCCGTGGCAGACGGTTCCGGACTGCAATGCGCCCTCCATGCCATAGGGGACCAGGCGGTGACAATGGCCGTCGATGGCCTTGCGTCGTTGCGTACAACGGGGAGGCGTCACCGCATCGAGCATCTCGAGTTGACCAAGCCCGAGGATGCCCGTCGCCTGGGCCGGCTGGGCATCACGGCTTCCGTCCAGCCCGTGCACTGCGACCCGGAGCAGAACACTCTATGGCCACCTCTGATCGGCAAGGATCTTTGCGCCAGAGCGTTTGCGTACAGGGAATTCCTCGACGCCGGTGCCAATCTTGCCATCGGAACGGACGCACCTACGGCACCGCACCAGCCGTGGAATAACCTCTTCAACGCCACAACCCGCAGGGCGTACCAGCGGCCGCACGACAAGGAAATGTGTAATGAGCACTTTAAACTCGACTTGGTGGAAGCCCTGGCCGCCTCTAGTATGGGGAGTGCCTACTCGTGCTTTGCAGAAAACATGGTCGGGAGCCTGGCGGCTGGGAAACGGGCGGACTTTATCGTCCTGGACGGGGTCGGTGACTGGAGACACGATCCTATCTCTCTCCTCACCTGTAGAGTAGTTTGCACCTGGCTGGATGGACGGCCTGTTTGGAGTGAGTTGGGGTGAGGGACTGATGTATAAGTTGGCCACGAGGTATTTGCATTTAATAAGTATTTAGAAATGTATACATGTTCCGCAACAGTCAAATGCAAGGTGAGCAATTCAAAGAGTTCAATCCCACCCAATACTTGGGCAATTGCATTACCTCACGGGCGTATCTTGCCACAACGTATTTGTGATGGAGCCATATCAAGCGCAGTAACTAGTCCCAAACTCTGGGCTTATCTTCTGACAATGCTTGAATCAATTGCTACCCACTGTACGTAGTTTGGTCCGTCTGATAAGCGAGGTACAATCTAGTGGGTATTTAGGGAGCTGCATCACCGATTTAATTTGATCAAGTGCTCATCGGTAGACCTGGCCGAATGACAAACACGACTCTGGCTCACGCATGACAAATATCGCCCCTTTGTTTCGGTCGAGATTGACTACCGGATAAATCTAGACCACACCACTCATACACTTGTCTTTGAATGGATTGATACCTTGGCAGCGTGCACATTCAGCATCCAACAGCCATGCCCCGCTCTCGCAATGGGTGCGCGACATGCAAGAAGCGCCACCGCAAATGCGACGAGGCCAAGCCGACGTGCTATGAATGTGAGGAAAATGGCTTGCAATGCGAGGGCTACCAGGTGAAGCTCCAATGGGATGTGGGCGTTGCCTCGAGAGGCCTTCTCCGCGGCGCCACGGTTCCAGTGACCCCGTCGGCGAGCTCGCCGGGACGGCATGAGGTGACCGATCTGATTCATGGATCCATGTTTCCAGACTCGAATGCTTGGATCAACAGGGCTCCGTTACCGCTGGGTGGTGGTTCATTGGGCCAGCCCGTAGCCACCCATGTTGCGTCTGCGAATGCAGTAGCTGATGATGAGATGCGGCAACTGTTCAAGCAATGTAAGTTTGCCTCTCAATCTATCCTGGTTAGAAGTGTTCAATACTTTGGCGGCCCAGACAGTACCTAACGTCAATATTGTTATCAAGTCAACGAGACGACGGTTACGCTCCTGTACAGCACTTCGACCCAGGACCCCTTTCGAGCCTATGTGGAAAAGCTTGCTCTCCAATCTGAAGCCCTCTACAACATCGTCGTGGCTATTCACATCTACTGTGCATGCCACGGCAGCCCACCGCCCTTGTTCCATGAATTATTCAACCGAGGCTTGCACCTATACCAGCAACAGCTACAACTCTCGCAACATACCTTGGATCCAGGAATGCTCATCACGGGAATGTTCATATGCACACTACATGTCAGTCCTCGCAGTCACTTTCCTTTGTTTAATCTACCGCCTATTTCCACACCTCGGACTTGGGTACCCATAGTCTGATCACAAGCATTAGTTATTCGAAGGGACCCCGTGGACTAGCCACCTAAGTCATCTGGATAGGGTCCACAAGCTGCGTGACGCTGGGCAGACCATATGCAAAAACCCCCAGCTCCGGGCCCCGGTCGAGGCCATGGCCACCATCGACATCCCTACTTTTGTGAGGGGTAGGGAGATCCCCTCGCTCGGACTCTGGGCGCGCATTCGAGAGGAGCAATCCGCAACGGCAGAGGGTATGGCTGACGATGTAGAGACCGTGTCAGGCTTGCCACGCAGCCTGATTGACATCTTTGCCCGCATTGACAATCAATCAGCGGAAGATGCATTCGTAACCTGGCCGGGGCATGTGGGAGACGTGCCCCACTGTCACTTGTGGGAAGCATATCGTCTGGCAGGTATTCTGATAGGCCGCCGATTCCGGGGAGAGGCCCGGGATCAGGCCGGTCGAGGAGGGAGCGCCCTATTTTCTGTGTCTGAGGTCCTCGTTCATCGCTTAATTGCAGTCCTGGATGCCCTCCACGAGTGCCAGAGCCGGCCAGAATACAGCCACGTCCTGGCCGGGAACGGCATCCTATATCCGTGTACCGCGGCCCGGCTCGAAGTAGCAGTGCTCCAAAGAAAACCGGCTTGGGTCGAGGCATTAGGTAGGTATGAAAGCTCCTGCCTGCCGTATCACAGAACTCCCAATGCTATCCACCTTAGGGAGATTCTCGACCTAGCGTTACAACAGGGTGACGACAATGTGGACCTCGACGAGGAAGCGCGGAAACGGGGGCTGGAGATCTCGCTCTTCTGAAGGTCTTTGGCTAGACCTGTTTAGGATGGTCGATCCGCAGCCAATTAGATCTGGACTCACTTCCCCGGCACGACCTTGTGGGGGAGATAAGAGCAAACCCAAATTACATGGGTGATGAGAAGTCAACCCGATATCAACCTTCAAATCCAGTGGTTGACGAATACAAATACCCGCCATGGGGCGACTGACTGCAGATTTATCATTCATCGGTCGATTCAAACTTGCCTGACACACTCCGAAGGACACCGAAGGACACCATGTCTCCCGGCGAAACTCCCACCCGTTACCCGCCGGGGACTTCCCAGCTTCTTCTTGGTGAGGCTCGCCTAAAAGTCTCCTCATGTTGATAGATGCTCATTAGAAGCCAGATTCTACTCACATCGTCTTGATCCCAACACCAACCGAAGATCCGAATGATCCATTGGTCAGTAGAGGCGGACACACAGAGCGTGTGAGTTTCTGGACTAACGTGACAAAAAGAACTGGAGCCTCCTTCGAAAAAGCATCAACTTCCTTTTTGTTCTCGCCTTGACCATCGCCATATTTACTGCGTACGTGTTCATATTCTAAACCCTGAAGTCTCGTCAACAAGTTGCTCACACGCATCACCCTCGTCAGAATAACAATGCAAATTGTCTTCTGGCAGCAGATTATCATTGATCTCGATGTTACATATGACCAACTCAATGCTGGGGTCGCTGCCAACTCAGCTGGTCTTGCTGCGGGTTGTGTACTTTTTATTCCTTTGACGAGGAAATATGGCTGCAGGTCAACCTATATCCTCTCCACGGCCATCATGGCCGGTGTTTCTTGGTGGAGTAGCCGTATGACTACAGCCACTGAAATATATCTTACTAATTTCTTGTTTGGCCTGGCGGGCTCGCTGAACGAGACAATCTCGGAGATCACGGTATAGCGCTGCTGTTTTTCTCGGACTCTTATCAGGCTGCAAAGAAACTAACTTACAAAATAGATTGCCGACCTTTTCTTCACTCACCAACGCGGTACGGCCAACGGACTATACATTGTTGCCGTTGTGTTCGGAAACTTTGTCTGTCCCACAATCGCTGGCGTCCAGGCTGCTGCGCTTGGCTGGAGGTGGACTTACTATACCGTCGGCATATGCCTCACCGTGCTGTTCCTCCTCTTCTGCCTCTTTTACGAGGAGACAAAGTATGTTCCCATTTCCAACGCAGAGCCGACAGACGACGCGCTTGGACGACCTATCGAAACCGATGACGATGGAGCAATCAATCCCTCGACGTCCCCGGCCAAGAACGTGCAGCCACATTCCAAGCAGGTCTTTGCCCATGATATTCAGGGCCAGGATCAACCTAGCCTCGAGTCACAGCCCCCAATAGGCAGAAAGTCCTACATGGAACGCCTGCGTCTCATCACCAACACTGACGAGCCGTTGCGGCGAAATTACATCACGCCCTTCAAGATGGCCAGGTTCCCTCATGTGCTCTTCACAGCCGTTCAAGTCGCAAATGCCCTCGCCTTCATCGTTCTGCTCACCTCAACAAACTCGATGGTTTTCTCTGCCGCACCATACAACTTTGACACGGCGGGGGTTGGCCTGATGCTAATGGGCCCCTTTGTCGGCAACATACTTGGCAGTCTCTATGGCGGCGTGCTAGGTGACTGGGTCGTTGTCCGCCTGGCAAAGCGCAATGGTGGTATATTCGAACCCGAAATGCGCCTCTACATCCTGCCTTTTCCGGCCATCTGTCAGGGTGCTGGCCTCGCCCTATATGGGGTGGCTGCTGACCGTGTAAGTCAAAGGGTCTAACTGCCGGTTATGGAACCAGAAAGCTCACAACTCTCTATAGGGCTGGCACTGGATATATCCTAGCGTTGGCGGCGCCATATTTGGATTCGGCGCCGCTGCGATGATGGATGTCTCATGCACTATTGTCATTGACATATACCAGAATGTAGGCTTACTTTGATCAAGCCCACTCTACACTTGGTATAGATTTGCTAACGGTATCCCCCTACTTAGCTGACCGCTGAAGCATTCATCTTGATCACCTTTATCCGCAACATCCCAGCGATTGGAGTCCCCTTTGGCGTCGTCTCTTGGATAGAGTCTGCCGGGCTGACGAAGTTATATGTCATTGGAGGGTGCGTAAGCAGCGCAGTTTGCTTGCTATGTATTCCTTTGACCTACTGGGGGCCCCGCATACGCAAGGCAAGTTGGGGACCATATGAATCTATCCTACAGCAGCACGGGTTTGTAGGCGGACAGTAGATATATGGCGAAGTCGAGGAAACGTAGAACCGAGATCAAACGTTAGGAGTACCCTACAATCTTAGTATGCTTATTTGAGATGGAGAGCTTTGGAGAGACCCACTACCTTGTTGAAGTGTTGAAGAAATATTTTACTCGTCATATATAAGGCGTTTAGTTGTGAACCATTCTTTGAATTGCATCTAAAGTCAAGGTAGTTCAAGTACTTGCGGATGCGGAATGGAAACAGCGCCAAGAAATAATTCTTACTCAAGAACTGATTCTTCATTATGTTATTCATCATCAATACCTCTCGATAATCCACTGACGTTGAGCAGTGTCATCCATGGCACCCAGCATCTTCATCTCTGCCTTCTTAACCGCAATATACCTCTCCACCGAATCCACACCAAGTATCTCACGCAAGGCTTCATCCTCCTTCAGAGATCCAAGCGCCTCCAATAATGTTGCAGGTAGCTTCTCCGTTATATTCAGCTTCTTCCTCTGTTCCTCATTTAGAGTTGCCGGGTCGTCTGTACACTCGGCCAACAATAGCTTCTGCCCTAACTCAACCGCATCAATTCCAGCAGAGAAGATAGCAGCCATAGCCAGGTAAGGATTAGCCAAACCGTCCATACATTTCAGCTCCCAGTGGCTGTCCTCTATCTTACGCAGCGGTGTCTCTCGATTTTGACACCCCCATGTCACCCACGTCCCGCCAGCCCAGCAGCCATCGACGAGCCTGCTATAACTCACAGGACTTGCACATGTATAGGCAAGAATACTTCGAAGGTGCTTCAATATGCCAGCGTAAAAAGACTCCCAAGTATCTTGGTCGGATCCTCGAGGAGAGGAAATGGACATGTGGACGTGGGCTGCGGTCCCAGTGGCTTTAGCATAGGGTTTAGGATAGAGCGTCATTTTGTATCCATGAGAATCTGCACACGCCGAGAGGACTTGTCGGGCGAAGATGAGGGTGTCAACAGCTTCTAGTGCTGGTGCGGCAGGTAGTACAATCTCGTACTGACCAAACGCGCTCTCTGGATGTATCGTCTCAACGTAGATGCCTGCCTCGTCCAACTTGATGACGGCTTCCTCAACAGCAATAGCTGCATCATGGTCTGCGGCTGTAACAGAACACCAGCCATGCGCATCGCCATCGAGCATCTCAAACTGTCTTACTCCGGTCCGCTTCAACAGCACAAACTCGATCTCGAAACCGAGAATAAACTCAAGATTATGGCTAGATGCAAGCCTTAGAGTATCTGCTAGTATTGTCCTCGGGCACAGAAAGACACTAGATCCATCCTTTTCCTGAAAGTCGCCCATGACTGTGACCAGTCCCTTTCTCGGACCGATGCGCAAGCTTCTGAAGTCTGCGCACAGGTCCCATTCTTTAGCTGGAGACACGCCGGGCAGCATTTCGTCTGTCTGAAGGAGTGCTAATGCTGACGTGGAGACGCTGAATTTGAAGTCCGGTTTCGACTGCAGTATTGACATGGCGCGTCTTATAGGGATGGTTCGCCCTCTTGTTGTTCCAGTAATGTCGTGCCAGCACAGGCGTACGTATTGAATGGAGTCGCCGGCACGTTTGAGTTTTGCCAGTCCGTCAAAGTTGGACTTTGGCCGATCTGAATCTGACTGGTCTGATTCCGGCTCAGATTCAAATTGCTCCTTTTCTTCTTGATCCAGCACAGCTTTGTCTAGCTCTGCCTGCGCGGTTTCACTCTGTGGCGTTAAGACCGGTGGTGGAGAATTAAGGTCCAAACCGAGGTTGTATAACTTATTAGAGTTGCGGAAGAGTATATCTTCAACAAAGTCCCGTGCTTCTATCCAGGTAAGATCCTCCTTCTTCACATATTCACTCAAGACAGTCTCAAAGCCCTTTCTCATCTGCGTGACGGCAAGGAGATATGTCTCGGGAAGATAGTGTCCACCTGTGCTCCAAAGAACCTTTGATGAAGGGCAAAGCTCTAAGATCTGCCTGATAACTTTCTCCTGCCCATCTCGACTGACCATAGGAAATACCAGACCAATATCAGCATACACGTTAGCATATACCGTGGCCAAGTATCCCACTTCGCGGACAAACGGGTAGCCAGAGTGTAGCAAGACAATAGGCACCGTTGGATATTGCTTGATGAATGAGTGCAAGTAGGATAGTGATGCTTTCGTGAGTGTGATGTCGCTATCGCCCAGACCAGTGTGGAATTGGATCGGTTTGGTATATGGAGAAGCCAATTCGCTGATAAGACTGGCCAGACAATGGACAACATACTCGCTAAGTCCATCGTACTGAAGCCTAGAAAATGGCTCTGCCTCCTTACGCTTTCTCTTCGTATGGATCTTTTGAAAAGCGATGAACGCTTGGTGTTTGTTTTCGCTCTGGGAGGTATCAGGACTATTGCGGTAGCATATCGCAGACTTAAACCCAGCCACCATAGGATTAGCTATATTTGCACTGATAGCGTTCTTAAGGCTCATAATAAACGAGGAGAAAGCCATATCCGGATGAACATGTTCTTGGCAAGCCTGATTGATCAACTTGGCAGCCACATGGTCGATCCGAACCAACCTCTTAGACTCGGCTCCGAACTTGTTAAAGTAACTATACGGCTCATGAACCTTTTCATCCCCAATTAGGTCGTCGACAAGGACAGTGCAAATGCTCGACAGACATGATTTGACCCACTCCTCATACACTTCTTCTTGTTGACGTTTACTCTCAAGCGCAGATTGGACCGAGCTCCATGTCGCCTCACATCCAAGCACACCGGAAAGCTGCTTGACAGCCCGAAGCTGAGCTAGGCTCGCTGTGGCAGCAGCTAGTGCACAGCCCTCGATCTCGGTCGTAATAGCTTGCAGGGGGAACTTGCCAGCCGCAGTAGCCTGGCGAGTCAACAGCGGGTGTGCATAATGGTTAATGATAGGGGCCGTCCGGACAGCACGGAGGAAAGCATCCTCTTCTTGTACCGCATGGTCTCCCATCACCGCGCTTATTTCTTTTACTCTGTCTGTTTCTCTCCGACGTAGGAGAGGACTGACTAGGTTGTTCGATGAACCAGGCTTGATCGACAGAGTGGGATCGGCGCAGCGAAACGGGCAGCGAACGGGAACAAGATCTAAAACGTCTGCAAGACAGATAGCCCATCATTACCGGGCAAAATGGCCAGTGACATCAAAATGTTTCAGGGGGCTAATGTATAGAAGAGTGAGTGGCGTGAGTACTGACGTCTGACCCTGGTAGAGCAAAAGGCTACAGAAGCAGGGGAAGAATTTGAAATAACCCCCTGAACCACGCATTTAACGCTAGAAAAATCCCACTTCATGCGCATATACACATGCAGCGCAGAAGACAGGCGGGCCACCATCAAAGATCGAAGGTAGAGAAGGATTTTGCCAGACTCCCACTCGGAACATGTGCGAACGGTATCCCACAGTGACGGTTAATAATGGAATGGCTCTCGAATTGGTCGGCCCGCAAGTATATCCCTGAAATGGAGTGTACATATAACTAACTAATCAAGGACCCTTGAGGAACGACAGCCGGGTCTCAACCTGCAGTGGAGAAAGTGTACGTACAAAAGGAACGATAGCCGGGCGCCCCATCATTTACAATCTCTTCTTTCCCAGGGCTCTAGCCAAGCGCCATCTGCAAGGCCTGTGACCATCTGTCAATGGTTCGTCGGCGGAGTTCATGCCGAGGCACAAAAAGGAAAAAGAAAATTGCGCAAGAACCACCGTTTGGACTATCTTCGACCCCAGTACCATGATAAATGCAGAAAATTCACCAGCCTGAACAAACGAAACGATATGCTGCAGCTCGTATCATATGACTGTGGGACCTCCGGGTCTGGCGTGCGATTATTTGACACACACACGTTGTGATATGGTCAATCACTCACATGCAAGGGACGAAGTGAAAGAGAGGGGCGTTTGTTGAGGCAGCCCATCGATGTCGATGAACTTTTCTTAAAAAAGCTTGAAGAGTTAACTTGTACTTTTGAATTAGGAAGACGAATTGACAAAAAGAGAAAGGATTTATTTAAGCTTGGCTCAATTCGACCTGTCAAAGTCTGATCATCGACCATCTAGGCAGGTCAAACGTATTGACAGTCAGCTACCCGCTCTGAAAGCGACGATCTGGAAACAAATTTGGAAAGACTAGAAGCCATTTCCTGCCTATTGTAGGAAGGCTTGCATTCCTACTAAGAGGGGGCAAAAAAAATCTCTGCTGGTCCGTACAGTAACATCGTGCCGTACGGTGAAGGCGAACTACCAGTTAGCAACTAGCTCCAACAATACCACCGACCACATATTGAACCACATATTGATACCTCTCATAGCTATTACACACCATCGAAACATACACACCTTGGAATCGAGAAACAAGAAAACCAAGGCCAGCATCCGAGCTCCCCTAGCGCAGTTTCTAGAGCTGCGGCAGTGACCGCGCTGTGGATTCTGACTGGCCAAGGACGTGGATGCTTTCAGCTCAAGAGTGACATCGACTAAGCCATAAATATCCGAAGGAGCCAGCCCCGGGGGTGCAGATCCGCGCCCGAAGTCCAGGGATCAGGGGCCCCCTCCATCCCCAAGCTCTAATATGTTTTCAGTTTAGAGTTATGGGGACTGTCTCAGCCGAGAACCTCTCCTGAAAGCAGTTGCCAGGTGTACACGGGCAAAAAGTTCACGGCTCTTCTGCGCGTGTTGCCGGATATAGCCGACCAGAGGCGGTCATGGGCTTCTCCGCGCTGAATGGAGTCGATTCGTATCTTGCCGTTGGGGCCGCTTACGGGACAAAGGCCTTATGGTTGGTCAAGCCAAGTAATTGGCTGGTATTGAATCAGAAGGAGATGAGGAGGATAAAGGGAAAATCGTGTTCCATACTTCTCGGGCGGCAGAAACCGAGACATGTGCCTAAAATGAAGGAGTCTGATTCCAGTCAGCTACATGCCCGCCCAACTAACTATCTAGGTAAGGTGATTAACGATACCATTGCGTGTGGCGTAGGTATAGAT